GGGATGTTTAAAGAGTTTTTGGTTTTTCTAAGTGTTCCTGTGGTTACAATAGCATCGCATGTGTGAAAATCACCAAATCTCTCTGGCCAGGGTTGCCATGACCTTATGACCTGAGTTTCTACCAGCAAATCTCTCCACACCTCCCAGTGAAGGTTTTCTTCTCCCATCCAGGTTATGAAAGTAGGGAAGGGCACAGATGCCTTGCAGTTGTGGTTGAGTCTTCTCCAAAAGCCAGACTCCTATGGACCATTTCCGTGGAAAAAGGAAAATTTCTCTGGAGAGTAGTAGCACATTTGCAGGGATCGGTGTGTAAATAGGAATTATCTCTCAAGTTTGACTGCTTCCCAGGTCTCTGAGTCATCCTGGCATGGCAGTGGGACAGGGTGAGCTTTGGGTTCTTCTGAGAGGTCACAGCACCTGCAGCCTCTGGAGCATCTGCCAAGATCTCCAGTACAGGTGGATGGCTGGGCTGGAATGTGCAATTCCTTCTCTCTAGTGGTACTAGTCTGGGACATGGCAAAAAAAATGCTCCTCCTACTCTGGTGTTTGAGTTAGGGGCATCCAGGAAAAGAGGGACAAGCAATCTGTCAAGACCTGATTTGGTTCTGTCTTACCAGGACTGCTCACTGAGGTCCCATCAGTCACATCTGATCAGCACAGCTTGGATTTGCTCCAGCAGGCATTGGTTACTGCTGAAAAGGCTTTTGAGGAATTTTGGAAGAGTCTGGGCAGGGGAAGATCACATCTACCTGCTCATACATGTTTCCTAAAGATGCTTTTGGAGAGATCAAGGAGGCTGGAGTGACCTCAGGAGGTCTGACATAGTTGGACATGGGGCTGTCCCATGCAGGTGGCAGTGGCCTGCATGCAGGCAAGACTGCATTGGCCAGGAGAAGGGAGGATGCTGAAAGCACTTTGAAAATCAGCCTGGGGCTGCTCCCCAGAGACTGCTCAGCTCTGGTTCATTCCTCTCAGAATGGAGACAGCCAAAATAGAAACTGCCTAAATAAAAATTGTTATGGACCCACAGAGATTGCCGTATCGGGAGAGGTGGAAAAGTTCAGGGCTCCACCATCTAATGAAATCCTTATGGTGGAAAGATAATAATTTGGTCATCTTCTGGTTTATTTCACCTCCCAAAGTGAAAACAAGGCATGCCAACCCTTGTTGAGAAGCCAGCACTGATGACACACTGAGGGGAAGAAGGGAAGGAAGAAGCTTCCAGATTTGTGGACCATCATATCTGTGGCTGTTTGGGGAAGGTTTTCTGACCCGTTGACTTTGAGGAGTGTTGTGCTCAGCTGTAGCTAAGTGTCGTCCCACCTTGGGGAGCTCCAGACAGGGCTCGGGGCTGCTGCCTGCCATCCTGCTAGCAGCCTAAGGCGTGTGGATGTCCTCACAGAGGAGCATGTGGGAGGCAGTAGGGCTGGCACAGCATCCCTGGAGCCCCTGGGCTGGCGTGGCTGTGCCTGTCCAGCTGTTTCCTTCGCCTTCCTGTGCTTTCACCATCCTCTTCCTTTGGGACAGAAGCCTTTCATCCTAGCCAGACCAATAGTCCCAAAGGCACATCACCAGCCCCTTTTTGATGAAGGTTGGCATGGGCATCAGTGCCTTTTGTATTCAGTAACATCATGAAAGGCACAGTTCAGCCCTTACCTTCCTGCAATAATAGATAGGGAAAACCAGAAAGGGCTGTCATGAAGGGTCTTCATTGTGGTCCAGCCCAGTGCTGTGCCAGTATTGTGAGAGCTCACAACAGCTGTGCTGCAACAGCCCTGCAAAGATCTCCAGGGATGGCCCGGCCCAGTGGCCCGGAATGGTTTTGCAAAAGCTGCTGTCACGCGGGGTGCCCAGTTCAGCTGGCACCTCTCCAGACTTCCTTACAGGGCCAGGGCCAGCCTCCAGCTGCTGGGGAGGTCTGCAGGAGTCTTTGCTTTCCATGAGTTTTGCCTGAGGCCTCAAGGCTTAGGAGGAGCTGGTGGACCCAACCAGCTATTGCTCCATCCTTTTCTTGCAAGGGCCAACACGCAACCCCGGGGGTTCCTCAGTGCTTTGGCTGCTTTTGATTTTTTTAGCTCCTGCAAGGCTCCCGCTGGGCTGTTTCATGGCCCCCTTGAGGCTGCTCCACCCCATCCTGGCTTTGAGTTTTTCAGCTTCATGACTGGAGCATGGCTGTGCCAGGGGAGGCATCCGTTTTCTCTGGCCTCCCTGATCCTGTGCCTAGCTCATTTCCCCTCTCCAGCTGGGACTGTGCCCACAGTCCTTGCACCCCAGCATCCAAAAAACAGTGTACATAGCAAGGAAGATGAGTGCCTGCATTTCCTGTGCTGGCCCAGGAAGCGGTCAGTGTGAAGGACTTGTCTCTCAGAGTATCTTGTTGACACAGCTCTTGATCTGCTGCACATCTACATTCCTCTTTCCCAACTGGAGTTTGCAGATACACACTTGGTTCTCTGGCAGCTCCTGAAGCTGGGTGGTTTGCCCCGGAGATGCCTTGGAGAGCTCTGCTCAGCAGGGCACTGAGACTTGGGCTCGGAGTGGTCCGGGAGGATGGTAAGATGCCCAAGCTCAGATGGAGCAGCTGTGGCGCTTACGCTGTGCCTGGGATGGATGATGGATAGATGAAGGACTTGAGCAAGGCAAGGTCTGTGGGGAAGCACCCCTGTGGTGCTGCTCTAAGAATGGGATGGTGATGGGGCAGTGTGTCCTGCTGCATCCCCAAACTATGTCCCCATGGTACATGTCCCCAGTAGGGTGCTTGATGGTGAGCCATGCATGGAGAACTTTCTTCCTCCAGTGCCTAGAAAGGTCTCTGAGAGCTTTTTTCACCTATTTTCCCCACCTATCAAGGTCAGAGGGACTGTGCAGCAGCATTTAACCCTCCAAGGATGGGGGACCTCACATTGCTGCTGGCGACGTGGCTGCTGCATGTCCACCAGTGGCAGCATTTCAGGGATGGCAGCAAATGCCTCTCTACCATCCCTCACCACAACCAGAGGAGGGTGGAGCACAGCCAGAGGCAGCATTTGCGGCCAGCTCTATGAATTTCCAATTACCAGCTCGCCTTGCCACTGTGTGAGAGGTTCCTGCACCTAATTTTTGGTGAAGTGATCCATTTTTCTCAGTAATTTAATAGCGTGGGCAGGCTGCTTGCCGTCGGAGAGCCAGCAGCAAGCACTGAGGAGCCTGTGTGCCGGGCTGCTGGCCGTAACCACCTTCCCTGGGCGACGCAGGAATGCTGACCTAATAGAAAAGACATTTAAAGAGGAGTTTTGGAGAGCAGCTCAGCTCAGAGTCAGCTCATGCACATGGCTGCTTATTGTAACAGGGCCTCTCCATGCTCCAGCAAGTCCTGGGGACCGGCATGGGCAGTGGGGGCATCCCTGATGGGAGCCAGGCAGCAGGGCACAAGCCATGCCAGCCATCAATTGGCACAGCAGTTGCATTATTTTCCGGGAAAAAATAGTTGCTTTGGAGGGGGGCCCATCACAAGTTGTGAACTGAGGCTGGATTCAGCGCCTGGCTGCGGTTCTCCCAGGCTGGAAAAGCCGTCGCATTTTGCTCTTGACATTTTCCAAATGAGATGTTTTGATTTATTCTTTTTTTTTTCTTTCCAATTTATTTTATTCCCTGCCCCAAGGTAATGTTTGGAAGACAAATTTAGCTTGATTTAACTCAAACCTTTTTTAAAAAGTAAAACCACTGAAAACTAAACAAGGCCTATCATTTAGAACAAAATGTTTTGGTTTTCATTTTCCTTTTGGCATGAAAAACACAAACTTCTTTTTTTTTTCATTTTCCTCTTGACCTACAAACAATTTTACTATTTTCTTTTCTCCTCCTTGTTCATTCCCAAGACCACATTGTGCATTGTGGCCAGGGAACAGGCGAGCCCTGGAGCTGTTCCCAGTGGGATGGGGGTCCCAGGGTGCAGGCTTCCCTGTGGAGACCAGAGGAATCTTGTAGAATCAAGCAGGAGCTGCTCTCCCTGCTGCCAACACTGACTCAGCTGGGAGCTCCTTGTGGAAAAGGGAGGCCCCTGGTTGTGGATCTGTTCCAGCTCTCTTAGGGGGATGTGAACCCCTGGGCAGGGCAGAAATGTGCTGCGGGTGCTGTACTCTGCTGCTGGACATCCCTATTGAGAAGGGCGAACTCTGGCATTGCCTTCTCTCCTTGTTTATTCAGGTTTAAAATTAATCTGACCTTCCCCTGCTCAGACTTGTGCAAACATGGCATGTCCATGGGCAGGGAGCTCTTGCCGGCCTGAGGGGAGCCCTCTCTGCACCCAGCTTGTGGTGTTACTGTCCCCTCTGGATGAGGTCCCACGAGGATCTGGGTGCTGGGGGATGGTGGGGCTTCCTCCTGGCAGAGACAGCTCTAGCCATCCATCACTGCACGGTTAATCCTCTGGTGCAAGCTGCCAGAAGTTCTGAGCGCCCGGATCAGGCGTCTCTGGGCTGCACAAGGGCTGGCTGCAATGCTTCCATCCCGGGCAGGAGCCCATGTACGAGAGCCAGCGATTGTTTCCCCAGCCTTGACCCCCTCCGCTCCCCGCCAATCCAACCCTGCGCCTTCCACCTTTTGCCAAATCCCAGCTCTCCGCTCTGCCCCAGCCTCACCGGGAGCCAGCCAGCCAGGGAGCTGGGAAGAGGTGATGGGGAGCAGCACCATCGCCAGACCCGGTGCAGAAGCAAGCACCCGACTCATCCACCACCTGATTTTATTTTATTCCCCTCTCAGTGCCTCGCTGCATACCACAGCCGTGCTTTTTATAGCCCCCAGCTGCAGCCTCGGCGTGCTCTCAGCCAGTTCCCCGCCGCAGCCCTGCTCGCTCCATGCCAGCAGCCCCGGCCAGAGGGGGATGGACGACATTCCCGGGGTCCCTGTGGAGGTTCAGGGAGCGGAGAGCACGGGCTGCAGAGGAAGGCAGGCAATTAAACCCTAACCCGGGCCGCGCTCCCGTGCCGGCGGAGGCGCTCGCAGGGCCGCGTCAGGCGCCCCCCGCCTCGCGGCACGTGCCGCCCGACAGGCCGAGGCCCAGCGCCGCCCGCCCGTCCCTCGCTGTGCCCTCCGCTGCCGCCCAGGCCTGCCTCCAGCTCCTTCCGTGAGCCAGCTTCCTCTGCCGTGTTCGGGGGCTGCGTCAGTGAGAGGGGTACCCCCTCCAACCCCTCCGCCCCCCGATTGCCCCCCGGCCGCTGGCGGGTTTACTGGAGTTGCAGGGAGATGTGAGGTTCCTGCCCACTCCCCGGGAGCGTTTTTACGAGCATCTGGGGCTCGCTGCTGCATTTCCACATCTCACAGCCACTTCCACAGCTGGGATGCCGCTATGGGCTATGGAGCGAGGAGGAGATGAGGTATGAGGCTCGGCTGCAGGCTGCGTGCCTGGAGCACCCCTCTGCAGGGACGTGGGGTTTGCGGAGCGGGGGCGGCCTGCCGGCAGGCGGGGAGCGAGCATCCTCGCTGGGAAGCGGCGGGGGGGCCCGGCGCCTCACTCCCGGGCTTTCTCCAGACGTGATTTCACCACTGCGGGGAGGGAGCGCGGCCAAGGGACAGGCCCTGCTCGCCCCGACGGCACCCGGTTCGCTTGCCGGGGCGTTAGTCATTTGGGCCATGGCTGGGGATGCGATGTGCTTCGGGTCCCCGTGGGGCAGGGGGACGGGGGCTTGGAGAGCCTGTACAGGGCAAAGGGAGAGGGATAGGGGCGGGGATGGATGGGAGCAGGGGGCCCTCCAGGCTCACAGCCCAAAGTCCCCTCCTTACTAAGCTGGGAAGGGGGGCAGAAGGCAGTGGTGAAGCCAGATGTGTGCTGGACATCTCCAGCTGAGCAGGTGGGCCGGGATGGAGGTACCCTTGCTGAGCTAATGCCTGCAATTGCTTCCCAGCCTCCTGCTGTGACTTTCCAGAGCTGGACATAGCATGGAGGCAAAGGTGATGCTGTGGAGACACAGCATCCTGCTTCAGGGATGGATTTGGGGAGATATCCCAAGGAGAGAGCTTCTCAAGAGGTTTGTGGGATCCCTGGGAATGGGAGGAGCCCCATGGGACCCTGCCATGTCCCTCTTATTTTGTGTGGGCACAGGGTGTTGGGTGCCTGTGAATAATTTGAAGCCTTGACCAAAAAACCATCCAGCTTATTTTACTTCCAGCAGAGAGGCAGGGAGAGGCCAGCCAGTGGAATACCAGTGGTGTTGCCATGTGGCTGCTGCCAGCAGCTGGAGCCTGGCAGCTTTGGCTCCATGCAGGCAGGGCAGTGAACAAGGGAAAGCAGAGAACTGTGGAGGTGATAAGGAAGGGATGTGCAAGGGTGGGTTTTACAGAAGCACAGCTGTATTGTTGACCCAATATGGGTTGTTGTAGAGGGGGACCCTCCCAAATCTGCTCCCTTCTGGAGACAATGTGTTTCAGTCCCTGAGGGATGGGGTCTCACTGACAGCACCTCAGCCCTTGGGTGAGCTGGGGGGGCTGTAGGAAGGGGCAGTTTGTGCTGCCGGCCAGGTGCCGAGCATGATGGGAGAGGGGAAAGCCTCGGAGACTTGTTCTGAAACAAGGCTGCCCTTTTCTTCTACTTTACGACTGCATTTTAATATCCACAAACATCCCGCCCTCCCCGGGCTGCTGCCAGCAGAGCCTGCTTCGCCTGCGCTTGGCCTGCCGAGAAACCCCGGCCAAACCCTGGGCCCCAGCACAGGGGAGAGGATTATTTCCCCCCCCTCGTTTTTTTGTAAGATATGTTTTCTATAGCTCTAATTGGATGGGCTTGAGCTGCAGCCAAGGCAAACACACCTGCGGGAGCCTCACTTTACAGACCCCATCTGCTGTGTCGGGGGCTCTGCTCCCCACACAGCCACTGCCTGGCCCCTTTATAGGGGAGGGGGTTGCTGGGGTTGAGGGGGGGTAGGACCACTCCCACGCCAAACCACTGAGCAACCTCCGTAGAGGAGGAGAATCCAGCGAGGCGGCGCAGGGAGATGGTGCAGAGGCAGCGGGGGCACCCGGCAGAGCCCTGTCCCACGGCAAGATTCCAGCCCGGCGTGGAGCTGAGGTATCTCTCCCCTGCCAGTGCTGCTGTGCTGGCACAAGGCTCTGTGCCCACCAGGGTGGGATGCTGTGGGTGGGAGATGCAACAGGTACCAGCAATGTTTTGCCTTCCTGGGGTGATGGCATGTTCATCAAGGGGTTGCAGTCCCCAAAATCTGCATGTTCTGGGGAGGAAGGATGTGAGGGTTCCCCAGCATTTCGGGTTGTGTTTTGGGCTGCAGGACCACCTACCTGGTGAAACCCTTTCAGGGGCTGTTCTGGACAGCAGACAAGGGACATCAGCATGCCAAGTCACTCCAATGGCTTGCATTAACATCCAAATCCATGCTGGACTGAGCTTTAAATACTTCTTCATGCAACTGTTGGCTTTTTGTGGGGCTTTTTAGCTGGGCTCTTCCCCTTCCAGTTGTGGAGGATCTACCTCCAGTGTCCCTATTACCAGAGGGCAGAGCAGTGCTGGCAGCCTTATGCCAGGGTCTGATGGGTTTCACCTCATATCTGTACACAGCCAAAGCCAAGAGAGCTGTTGGGGGTCTCTGGTTCACCTCTTCTGGGACCAGAGTGCATACCCTGACAGCATGATGTGCGACAAGGAGCAGCAGCACATTTAGGTGGCACCCAGCATTTGGCTCATCCTGGAGTACATTTTGTCCTCCCTTCCACACACCATCTAACAGGGGTGTGCAAGGTACAGTGATGTGCCCCCACTCACATCATGATGGTATTAGCACACCATCCCTTCCTTCTTCTCCTGCCCCTGCAGTCGCCCAGCAGCACTGAAGAGGCATCACTGCTGCAAAAAGCACTCCTGTTGCTCAAGGTGCCACTGACTACTCCGGGGAGGAGCTCTGGCACCCGCTGCACTCTCTCCCCTCTGCCTGGTGCTAGGGAGATGCTGCCTGCAAGGGTAGTACTGTGTTTTCTTGGGGTGCATTGTCACATACACACACTCCAGTGCACCCAAGTACTTTGCACCAGCACTGCTCACTTGGAGCAATAAGGACTGAAGTGCTGTTTAAAATAGGAGGGTAGGATCCAGCCTCACCAAGATCTGCTGTCTCACTTCAGGTGAATGGGATGAGCTGTGGTGCATTACACAGGCTGGAATGTGCCTCTGTTTCCCTTTGGCCAGGCCAGAGGATCTCCCTGTGCATGTCGGGAGCATTGGGGCATAGCCAGAGCTGTGGCAGTGCACAGGGCAGTTCAAGCATTTCATGAAGAATTTTAGAGCTGTCCTGGCCTCCAGTCAGAGCAGGCTGCAACGAGAACATTTCGAAATTTTTTTGGATGAGGAAAATTCCGCGGGCAGCCCCCCTCCAGAGAAAGTTTGGGATGGCTGAAATGTTTGGAGTGAGAGGCTGCTTGCTTTTGTTTACTCTGAACTACAACATTGGAGCGGGGGGAGAATCCAAATTTAAAAAGAGAGACAATAGGAGCCTGTAAACGGAGCTGGCCCCGAATGGGGCTGGGGCTTCTCTCCAACACTGGGGAAGGAGATGTGTCAGCACACTCACTGCATGGCCCTGCTTTCCCCCTCTTGGATACAATCACACTTAATCTTTCAGAGCTTGGCTGGGTTTTTTTCCCCTAGCAAAAAATGAGCTGGATGGTGTTTTTCCAACCTTCTCAACTTAGGCAAGGCTCAGCCCCCATCCCCTGGCCCTGTACTACAGCCTTCATGTTTTCCCCTTCTTTCCACTTTTTGCCACGTTTCCATCTCCTTTTGTCTTGGGCACTGCCATGTGATTGGCTTGGGAAGAAGTGTGTTCTGGGGGCATGGGTGCTGCCCCCAGTGAGGTGTCTTCCCAGCCTCTGTTCCTGCCATGTGCCTTGCAAACAGCTGCCACCCCTGAGCTGCCTCCACGTGGCAAATTTGATGACTTTAGAGGTCGGTTCCAACCTTAATTATTCAATGTTTGTATGAAAGCAGATAGGGTTGACTCTAAGCTTGGAGAAGACAGGTCATGGTTATCCCACCAGGTGAAGGAGACGGGCACAATTATCCCCACATCACACATTGTTTGGGGTCTGCAATTTCCATCTGCCTGCCCCTCTCCCGCGGGGACACTACTGGTGGTGTACAGGAGGTTAACAGGACACCCTTTTCTGGTGGCTTTCTTTGGGCCACCCCTTGCTGATGGCTTCATTTGGCTACCCAGGTGGTCTTTAATGACTTCTGAAATCCTTCTCTTGCCCAAAAGGGATTTTGTTTTGCAAAAGGAGTGACAGCAAATTGCTAGCTGGAGGAGCATTTGTGTAAGGTGAGCTGTTTATTTTGGCCCTGCTGTGTTTTGGCTGACCCATGCGCCTTCATGCCTCAGGGATGGAGCTGAGCCTGATGGCTCTTGGGCTCTGGCCAGCTTTGGAGCTGGGGGAGGGAAGGGGGAGCATTGTGCATGGGGCATGCTGTGGGGCCCCACTCCTGATCAGAGTTCCCAGCCCCAGGCTGGAGTTCATGAGGAGCATCAGAGGGAGCTGGGTGTACCTGGGGTGTTCACAGGTATGTACATGTGTGTCTGTCCCCTACATTTATGGATGCATGCACTCTTGTATCAGCTACAGGGCCAGCTTATGGGGAAACTTTGTTCTGGGAGGTGCAGATGGTCCCGGCGGGGCCAGGCTGCAGGCTGGTACCCGGCTGCTCTGCCATACTGGGACTCTGTGTGTTCACTTAATTCTCTGCCAGCCTGGGCTGAGCCAGGAGCAGAAAAATGTCCCAAATCCCAAAATGTTCCTGGGACAGGAAAAGCCTTTCCCACCCTGCTGTAATCACAGGGTGGCCCAGCTCTCTGCTAGCAGGTCCCACCCCTGTCCCCAGATCCAGCACTGTGCCCATCCCTGTCCTGTACCATGTGCCAAGGACAGTGGGGATGCAGCACCCCCTCCCACCAACTTCCATGCCTCCACCCTAAAAATAATCTCCAAGCTGTAAAGAAACCCAGCAGCACTACAGCTACAGCGCTGGTAGGTGTCTTTACAGCCGGGAGATTATTTTTAGGAATGTCTCTGGCACGTGGCTTTGGAGAGAGAAGTGTGGGGATGGGGATGGAGAGGGGGGCGCCCCTTCTCTCCCCCCTCGGAATGCAAGCACTGCCAGCTGGCACAGTGTCAGGGCTGCTGGCTGCTAACAGAGCCCTCGCTGTTTTGGCCTTGCCGATGCCTGCAGTTACAGCCATGAGCCAGAGACTTCTTCCTGCAGGATGGAGCAGAGGAGAGCGGAAATCAGGGCATTGGGGTGAGAGTTTCCCAGCTGGGGTAGGAGCAGAGCCTGACCTCCATGGTGCTGCTGGCATGCTGGGGTGTGTAGGGCCCCCCCAAACCCAAACACCAGGAACATCTGGCAGCTGCTGGCTCCGCCGAGTAGAGAGGTGGGATATGGAGGGGTTTGGGCTTGGCTTTGGTCACCAGTGGGGCTGCGGTCAGCTGGTCTAGTTTGGATGGAGATGTGCATTGTATCTGCCTGTGGAGATAACTGGTTCCCTGGACAATGCTGGGGTTATTACTGTGTTTGGGCTGAGCTGGGTTAACCTTATGCCAGGGTTGCTTTTGGTTTAGCCCCACATTTGAACTGTGTAACCCCGTGACTGGGCTGTGCTGAGGTTAACGCTGTGTCTGAGCTGAGCTGTGAGTTAACCCCACTCCTGAGCTGTGCCAAATTTAACTCCACATTAGTATGGCATAACCATGTGTATGACCTGTGCTAGGTCCAGCCTCACATTTTGGCTGAGCTGGGTTTAGCTCCACTCCTGGGCTGGGCTGAGTTTAACCACACATTTAGACTGCACTGGATTTAATTGTCTTCCTGGGCTGGGTGGAATTTAATTCTCCTTATGGGCTGTGGGATATAATCCAATATTTGGATTGTCCTGAGCTAAGCCCTGCATCAAGACTGTACTGGGTTTAGTCCTATGTTCAGACTGTGCACAGGTCTTATGGGACTACACTGGCCTCACAGGACAAGACTCCGACTGGTTTTGATGGTTTAACTGGGGTAATTCCTGTGCGCTGGGATTGCACTGGTTGCAATGCAGCTATGCATGTGTGTGTTCTGGCACAGCCCAGCATGCATGGTACCCCTGCCCCCACAGCAAGCATGGGAGCCCATGCACCCCACCAAAGTGGTGCAGAGGTAAACAGTCTTTTTTGACATCCCCAAGGCACTGGGGTGGGGGCCTGAGGACATGCTCACGCCATCACCCCCACAGTACCCAAGGTAGGCAAGGTATTGCCTCAGATGCTTGCTGGTAGTCCTGTAGATTATGCATGGCCCTGGTGGCCCTTGTGGTGGTGGGGGACATGCTTCCCTCCAGCACCCACTTCTGGGCTTTTTCTGGACACCCAGGAAGGTGCCAGCAGCATCTGGGGGACAGGGGTGGCTGTTGCAGGAGACCGTCCAGCAGTGGGGCTGATGCTCCTCTCACAAGCACACGTTCATGCAGTGATGATGGAAGTCAACAGTGCTGCAGGGATGGGGTGATTCCAGGGCCCTGGGCAGATCAGCAGCCACAGGGATGTACTCAGACCATGCCATGGCTCCTCAGAGCAAGGCATGGTGCTTCTGCAGGCCTGTCAGGTGCAGGGAGATTAGGGAGGCATAGCTCCAGAAGCACATTTCCCCACAGGGGAACAATTCGTGCAGTATTCTGCATTTCAGCATAGGACACTCTTCCTACAGCAATCACTGGCAGAGAGGAGAGTTTGTAGCACAGGGGCAGAGAGACGCTCCCCCAGCTCAGGGGATGCTCAGAGTGGTGCTATCTCTGGGTCATTAGAGCCAGCTTTTGGCCTCTGCCCATTGCTTTTTGTAGGTGGGCGACTGCCATCAAGGCCTGGCACAGGATAGGCAGAGCTGCCAAGTGCTCTTGGGGTATTTGCCATATCTCTGTTGCAGCAATGCTGCCCCCAATCACATTAGAAGGAGGATAAGAGGCACCCCAGCTTCCTGTGCTCAGTGGGGAGCATCCCAAGTCTCCATGCTGCCATCTGCAGCCTTGAGGCACAGTGTCATCTGCTTCTGTCCCTGTCCCAATCACCCCAGCTCTGTGTGCAGCCCGTTTGCTTTGAAGACCAACTTCAAATGAAGCAAAAAAAAAAAAATTCTTAAGGAAACAAAACCCAATGTCTTTCAAAGCACTGAGCACAATGGAAAGTTGTCTTCCCCCAGGAATCTGTGTTGGGCTTTGCTAGTCCACAGCAGGGTATGGCACAGATCAGCTATGCCGAGGGAACTGTCACACCCGACGTGGGCATTGGTGCTGGTGCATATGGCCATGATTTTGAGGGAAGTTTTGGCTTACAGCGCTTCACTTTGCATGCAGGAAGGGGCTTACGTCAGGATTTCTCCCCACCACTGCCCAAAACCATTTGCATGAGCTCAAATGGTGTCCCAGCAGAACAGCAGGATCAGGGAGGTATGGAGAGTGAAACCTTGTGTTTTGGCTCACATCCACAGGTGCCAGAGGCTGCCTGCTCACCATGGCTGTGCCAGTGACAAGAGCATCCCATGCTGAGGGAGCAGGGTCCAGCGCTGCTGCCCTTCCCACCAGCACCGTGCCTCCAGGCTGAGCAGGGTGCCTCTACCCTGGCTGTGGCAATGGGATGTCACCCAGCCCTGGGCTGGCGGCAGGCGTCTCTCTGGCCAGGATTAGCGTGAAGGGAGGAAGAAAAGCTCGGATTGTTCCCTCTGTCCCGGCTCGGCTCCAGGACCACTGTGCCGGGACTCTGTGTCCCCACAATGTGTCACTGCTGGTGTAAGCATCAAAGGATGTTTTCTCTGCCTGTGTGCCCATCTGTGGGGGTGTGGAGACACCAAAGAAGGTAGACCTGGCCACTCACATGCTTGTGTTCATTTGCATGCCTGTTTTTCCCTTGGCCAGGGAATTTGGTGGCAGAAAATAAGCCCAGAACTTTTCTGGGCAGGCTGTCTTGTAGCACCTGGCCCCCTGCCCTGCTTCTGAACCTGGGGCAGACGAGGGCTCTGGGTCTTCTTGGGCTCTGTGGCTCTTTCCCCTTTTATTTTTGGCCTTTGGGCAGGCAAGGAAGGGCTTGCCCTGCTGCTTCTCTCTGCAGTGATTCTGTGTCCCCAGGGATAGTTTTTGGCAGTGCTCACGTGGGTCATTTACTGAGTCAGCATGTCTGGAGGGGCTCGGTGCTGCCTTCTCACACCGCGCTGGCAGGGGGGCCCTTCTGAGGCAGGGGAGCTCTTGGGGTGCTGGGCTGAGGATGGGGAGCTCTGGGAGGACCCTGGGACAAACAGTGAGGAAGGGTGGAAGATGAGGACTGGCCATCAGGATGAGCTGTCTTAGGGTTAAGTTTAGCGTTAGAGTTAGGGACCACTAGGGTTAGGGTCTAGGTTAGTGGTCCCTAACCAGACTTAACCACTACGGTCATTATGGATACCCTCTGCAGTGTTTGAATGAAAAACCAGGGTGGTCATGAGAAAAAATTATTTTATTTTAAAGCTATTTTTCTCTATATATATTAACACGCTCTCCCTTCTTCCTGACATACACGCATACACCCACTCCCCTTCCTCCTTCCCCCAGAACTATTCCTTCACTCTAGCCCACATGGTTTCTGAAGTTATTTTTGGTTGCTGCTTTTAAGAAAAAATACACTCATTTTTGTCTTCTTTTTTTTTTTTTTCCCATCACCAAAATATTTTACTTTCAGGCCAAATGTTCCCAGTTACTTACCAGCATAGTTCTGGCAGAGACCTTTTGACTGATATTTCTTGGGAACATTTCTAGGGTGGTTTGGTAGGAAAAGATTATGACAGTCTCATGAAATTATTTACATTTGGGGCTTGTGTTTGAGGCTGCCTGGCATGCTCAGAATGGGGTTGATGTGGGGTGCCACATGCATTCCCCCCTGCAGCAGATTGCCTTGTAGCTCTTGCTTCCTTCGCCAGGCGGTTTGGTCTGTGGCCATGGACAGTTGGCCACAGGAGGGGAACCGGCTGCTGCTCTGGGGTGGGCTGGAGCATCCCTCCCTCCAGTCTCTCAGCTGTTCAACGCAGGAGGACACAGATTTATGCCTACAGATTTATGCCTGCTCTTGGGGCTGGCAGGGAGCTCACTGCCTTATGTGCCCTCAACCCCTGCCTGCAGTTGGGAGCAGAACCCAACAGTGAGGGTGTAAATAAACAGGCCTGTCCAGCTGTGAGGTGTGGGCAGGGGAGCCTTCTAGGGAGAAATCTTTCATTTCTGACTGACAGAGACCATGTGGTGCACCTGGTAGGGATAGTGTGATGCTGGCCAGGACGGATGCCCTGGGGTGATGCTTGTTGGCACAGGCAGATGGGGCTGGGATGGACAGGGTGACACTGGCTCATATGTCCTCCTGATGCAGGACTCTGCAGGTGGGTCCAGATGCTTTAGGGTAGTGCTGGCTGGCACAGAAAGAGTGCTGGATGGGAAGGATATCATAGAGCACTGCTGGCTGTGATGGACAGGGTGATGGTGGTAGGGCAGGACAGGGCAACACTGAATCCTCCTGGGATTCAGGATGGCACTGGCTGACGTGCCCACAGTGGTGTAGGTTGGGATGGAAAGGGTGCAGATCCCTGACCCTGCATCCCCTGCCCCTCTCACTGGTGGTCACTGAGCGTGAGGAAGAGATCTCAGTGCCCTTCTCCCACAAATGGAGACTTACCTGGACTAGGCTCACAGTGGATGCTGGCATGGGCAGTGATGTGAGACTTGGTACAACCTGAACTATCACAGCCCTGTTCTCCCTGGCTATGTGAGCCTGTTTAGATTTGATTGCTGTCACCTGCTATGTAAATACAGCTCTCCTTGGTCCCTTCCCACCCCAACTGCACATGCACAGGTCTCTGGACCACCCTGGGGTTGGGAGCCAGCCAAGGCTCCCAGCACAGGACTGCAATGGCAAAGAACCCTTAATCCCACCAACCCACACAGCCCTAAGCTCCTGGTCAGTGTTTGCCCCCTGCATCCCCACTCCAGGCTTGGGGACTGCTCAGCAGCCAGGAACCAGATGTGACTGTGGCACAGACACTGCCAGATGTCCCAGCTGGGGTCCTGGGATTCAGTCCCTGTTCTGTCTCCAGCAGGATGGGATGAGATGAGAGGGAGATGCAGGATCCAAGGCCCTGCAGGAATACTGTGGGCTTTGGACTGTACAGCTGCCCCCTTGCAGGGAATAACACTCTCTCCTCTCCTTGTCTGTCCCATCCAGATGCGCAATTCCATCCCAGGCCTGGGCAGGGTGATGGTGTTCCTTGCAGCAGCCCTGGCATCAGCCTCCTTTGCCATCCCTGAAGACTGGGAAGAGGAAGGTGAGACCCCCACCAAGCACCCCCATACAGTACCACTCCCCATGTCCCAGGCATGAAGACTCTGAGGGCACCCCATTTCCCCCAGACAGGAGCAGACCTACCAGGGCTACATGAAACACAGCCCTACATCCTACAGTGATGGCCAGCCTGTGTTTCTGCTCATTGTGCAGCCCCAACTGGGATGAGTCCTTATTAGTCCCCTGTGGGGGTACCTGCATGAAGCAAGACCCCATAGCCAGTGCCCACTGTGGGATACAGCCCCAGGGGCTCCCTACCTGCACCCCCAGGCCTGGAGTGGGGTGGTATGGAGTGCTAACACCCATCTGGGGATGTGCGTCCCTCCAGGCGTGCAGTATGGACAGCTGGGGACAGACGTGACCCTACCATGCCCTGGTTTCCATGCCAGGTAAGTCTTTCCCGTGCACATCAAGGGATCTATCCAATGGGATGGTTTGCAGGGTGGGCCTGGGTATTCCTGTCCTCTCACGGAGCCTGCCTGGTCTCTCCCCCTCAGCTCACCAGTGCGGTGGAGACGAGCCGGGGCCACGGCGCTGCCAGAGGGCTCAGCCATCCAGCAGGGATCCCTGGTGCTGCCGAGCGCCAGCCTGGCCTTCGTGGGAGCATACAGCTGCCATGGCGAGGATGGTGGCCTCCTGCACACTGTGTCCCTGCGTCTGGGGCGTGAGTAGCATGTCTGTGAGCTGGGCTGTTCTGGAGGGAGTGTGGTGCCCACAGTCCTGCCAGGGACTTGCCAAATGGGGGCTTGGTGTTGACACAGGCATCCCTGTGTGCTGGATGGGCTGTGGGAGGAGGGACTCCTTGCTGACTGCTGTTTCCCCTGGACCCCAGACCTGCCTGGAGTTCCCTTTGTGTCCTGCAGAGCATCTGACTATGAGAATTTCTCTTGCTCCTGGACCTCCAGTGTGGAGACCTTCCTCCCCACCAGATACATCACCACATACAGGTGAAGTATCTCCACAGGACACAGATCAGTCTTGTTATGGTGTGAGCTCTGGGTCACAGCCAAGGATAACCAACGAATCCATCTGGCCATCCCACACACGCCCTGGGTTCACCTCCTGCCCCAATGACCATGCTGCACCCCAGAGCAGGTCCTGTTTTGGGGTGAGCAGAGCACCAAACATTTGCTTGCTCTCAGTGGGGGTCTCAGCAGCAACGGGGGTGCTGGCACAGACAGGCTCCCTCTCTGCTGACAGTTCTACCAGCACCAGAGGGACAATAAAAGAGAAGCAGGTCATCTGCAAGCCTCCACGTTCCGGCATGCTTTGGGATGAAAGGAGCCCTGACAGCATTGCTGCTTCTAATTATCCCTGCAAGCCAAATTAGCGGGCGGCTTTGAAGTCCTATGGAGCTCATAAAGCACAGCCCTGCTGAAAGCTGTAGGAGCCAAGGGCTTGGTGGAAAGGGGGCTGAGTGGAGCATCAGGGGATCCAGAGGGCGGGGGAGTGCAAGCATGGGATTTGGCAGTCTTTAGCGGGAGGGTGAAGCCAGGCTCCAGGGAGCTGCTTTTATCAGTGCTTTTGCTTCTGTGTGATGAAATCCTGGGCAGGGAAGGGTGTCCCATTTCTTTTCCCTGGGATCGCCAGCCTCTGCTGCCAGACTGCTAGACATGGTTTTAGTTCTTTGCCCCATGCTGTCACATGTGTATGTCAGCCTGGGAGTGTGAGGCTGCTTTGCAGTGTGGACTCCTGTCCCTCCTCTGGGTCATGGTGGGGTTCACTTTGTGCTGCCCCCTCATCCTAATCATCTGCTTTTCCATGTGTCTCCATGGCAGGAAGAAATCCCTGACAGGTGAAGAAAAGAGGAGGTAGGACTGACTCCCACCCTGCTCCTGCTCCCTAGGGATTGGCCCCCCTCCCAAAGGCCCTGCTGCTGTCTTCAGCAGGGGCCTCAAAGCAAGAGCTGGGCTCCCATCAGGGAGCCAGCTACTTCCCAGCTACCCTGGGAGTCTGGGAGGAGGGTTTGCCTCAGGGAGGGACCTTCCCAGGCAGAGTGTGGAGCTGGGATGAGGATCCCTTCTGTCATGCTCAGAGGGATATGCCAGACTCTGGAAGGGTGAGTGCAGCTGAGCACTCCTCCTCCAGGGCCTGCCTCCTCCACCAGAGTCTTGGCATGAGGGTCTTCCATGGCACCTCCTTGGCAGCATTTGGAATCTGTGCATGGTGGGTGGGTAGGACGTGTCACCAGCCTGCCTCCCTGTTTGCAGGAACAGGAATGGGCACGTGGGGCTGTGCCTGCAGGATCCGTCCCGCCCCGGCACCTGCACGGTCCACAGGTCAGAGTTCTGGAGCTCCTACCGCCTGAACATCACCGAGGTGAACCCCTTGGGCTTCAGCTACCGCCTTCTTGATGTCACCATGCAGGCCATCAGTGAGTCCCCATCCATTCGTCTGTCCCACCGTTTGTCCGTCCCTGGGCAGTTACCCGTGGGTGACAGCAGGGAACCCTACACACCTGTGCACAGCAGTGCGGAGTGACAAGACCTTCCTGTCCTTTCCCACACAGTTAAGCCAGACCCTCCAGAGGACTTGGTGGTGGAGCCCATCCCCTTAGCCCCACGGCGACTCCATGTGAGCTGGAAGTACCCTTCCTCCTGGCCAAAGGAACCCCACTTCCAGCTAAGATTTCGGCTCCAGTACCGACCCGTCATCCACCGTTCCTGGTCTGTGGTAAGTGTGCAAGGAAAGGCAGGGCCAGCACAGGAGTAGGGTGTGCATGGGGCCAGGGAGAGGTGCCCCTGCCTGCCCCACAGCTCCCCTCTGCCTGGCACAGGTAGAGACGGTGAATCTGTCTGAGGTTATCACAGATGCCTTTGCTGGGCTGGAGCACGTGGTCCAAGTCAGTGCCAAGGATTTCCTGGATGCAGGGAATTGGAGCGAGTGGAGTGCTGAAGCCCGGGCAACACCAGTCAGAGGTGAGAGAGGGACAGGCTGCAGCCACCAGCAGCCTACCACGTTGTGCCATCCCTCCCCAAAGTCCGTCCAGAACTCTGAACTTCTCCTCTTCAGTACCTTCCCCATGTCACTCATTCCCCCAAATATCAATCAGAATCTCAACTACAGGGCCACTTAAAGTTGGGAGGCAGAAATGCAGGAGGACGAAACATCTCCCAGCCCATGTCAGTCTGCAGCTGTGCTGGTGCCATTCAGGGATTGACCCCACAGGCCTGGGACAGAGCAGTGCTTCCAAAGTACCATTAGCACCTCAATGGCACTCTTCGGCTCATGGGACCTCTGGGGCACAAAGACACCCTTCCATACTCCTCTCTGTGGGTCTCTGGGGTGCTGCATATGGTTTTGGTGAGTGTTTCCATCCCTTCTGTCCTTCCAGACCTGGCCTCCACAGCAAGTGAAGAAACCACTACAGATGCCAGACTGGAGAGCCTGGCTGAGGAGTCCTCCCAGGCTCCCAACCCTGAGCCCATCAGTGAGTAAAACTAGGGATGGTGTGCCATGTGTGCTGCTGAGAGCAATGGGAAGGGTCTCTTGCCCCAAGTCCATGTTTGGCTGGGCTGTTGGAGAGTCCAGGAGCTTGCCATAGGGTCCCCCAGGTGCTGGGGACTGTGACATCCCTCAGCTGTGAAAGTCTCTCTGTCGCAGATCACAGTGACCCCTTGGAGAAGATGGCTGTCCTGGTGTCCCTTGGGATCTTTGCCTTCTTCATCCTGGCTGCTGTTCTTGTCATCACCATCCTCATCTGGTAGGCTGGGTTTGGAGGAGGGGCTGTATGATTGCTGTCCCCAACCCATCCTGAACTCTCAGCATGAATTGCCCTGTGATCCCTCAGCCCTACTCTGAGGTCCCTGCCAGAACACACTTGATGTCCTGTAGAGTGGTTTATGCTCCCTTTGCCCCTGTGCCACACCAGTGCCTCTTCCCAGCACACCCATTATTACCCAGCCTGCCTGGGCTCTTTCTGATGACCCCAGATCCAAGGGACCTTTTTCTGAATGTCCTCAAGATGCTGCGCTTTCTAATATCCTCCCAAAGGCTCCTGCTGGAGAGTCTCACACTCCAGAGTCAGCACAAACATCCCATCCCTGTGCCTTTGCTCCCTGGGAATCCTGTCCCCAGTTCCCCTCTCATCCTGCTGCCATGGGATCTCCCTGCCATGCTCTGGCTGTGGTCTCAGTCCCTTCTCATCCCAATCCTGTTCTATCTGGTGACCAGTTCCTGCTGTAGCCCTGGAGCTGACCCACTGGAGAGGTTAAGGTGAGCTGGGCACAGTTGGGCACAACTGGATGGAAACACATCAGGATCATTGGGAATCTGGGCAATCCTGATGCTCAGGAAGGCTTTTTTGGGGTCTTCAGCTGCCATTACTCTCATCCCCAGGCTCCGGGTGAGGAAACATGGCAAGGACAAGACTAAACCCAGCTTTTTGGTTGCTGCCACCCACTTGAGGGCATTACCAAGTGAGTCAGCGTGCAGGATGGGGAATGGGGCGGGGGAATGTGGGACAGGGAATGCAGAGCATGGGGCAGGTCAGTGACTCCAGTGTCCCCCTTGACCCCCTTGTCCTCTCTCTCAGCAGAAGCTCAGATCCTGTAGTGAGCCCTGGCCAGTCCCTGCTCCATGCACCTGCTTGCCCACGCATGGGACTTGATGCCACTGCTGGCCCCCAAGGGCCCCACACCTCCTGGGTCACCCCACAGCTGTGGACATTGCCGGAGCCCCCAACACCCTGGGGTTGCAGGATGGATCCTAAGGAGAGAGGCTCTGCTCTCAGGAGCGTTGGACTGCCTGAGCCCACCAGGAGCCAGCTGGAGTCACTTCAGGCTCAGGGTGACAGGCCAGCTCCACCTCTGAGCGCTGCTAAACAAATGGGGATAAGACACTGAGCCAGCCCCACTTCACTGCCTAGTGTTGGGGGGACCATGGGTGTAGGCTCCCGGGGGTGCCAGGCGTCAGTGCCAGACCAAGGGGTGCTGATGCCTGCCTGTCACCCCCCACCAGCTGCCAGCCCCACCCCCTGCCCCTTCCCTCTGCCCCAGTCCCCCATGCTGTGGCTGGACGGAGCAGAGATGCCAATAAAGGGGATATGCCAATGCTATCATTGGCGCTGTCCAGGCAAAACTCCTTTGCAGATGATGCTGGGCCAAGGGAGGGGTGAGTGCCAGCTTGGGAATGGTCCTTGCAGGAGGTGCACAGGCAGCAGGGCTGCCTCCCAAACTGCTCAGCCCTCTCCCCAGATGCATGGAGGGGCTTGAGAGAGACCCATGCCGAGGCTAAGTGCCAGAAGAGAATGCAGACAGGCGGCTGTGTAGGACATCTCCCCTGCCCTCACCAGCATGACAGCTGAGACAGGACCCTCTGCACAGCCCCCCCTGCTCTGCATGTGGCCTTGCTGCACCTCAACCCGGCCCCTCTAATGGCTTCCATGTGTTGGCACCTCCAGATCTCGGTGTTCAGTGCCAGCAGCCCAACGAGATCCAGATGGAGCTGGGTGGAAATTCAGACAGCGGCAACACGTGGAGGAGGGGGAGCAGAGCCAGTGCAGAATGGGGACCCATGTGGGTCCTGGAGTTGCCTGTGAACCCATGATGCAGAGGGAGCCTGGACTGGGCCAACCACAAAGGGTCCTTGTATGGACTGGGTTGGAGGGAGCTGGGGCAGGCTATGCCTTTTGCAATGTGTTGTGTGCCCACAGGCTCCCTGCTGCTCTCACTGGGTGCCCTGGCTATGGGCTCATGAGGGCTCTCCATGCTTGGCCATGTGGGGTTGCAGCCCCTCACTGTCCCTCATGAGCACAGACATGCTGAATGAGAGAGATGGAGGTCAGCCCTCTATCTGCAGTGTGCTGCTGGCATGGCACTATCCCTGGACCAGAGCAGAGCTCTCCACAGGGCAGGTAAGGCAAGTCACCAACCTGGGGAGTTGTAAGGAGCCAGATCTTGCCTGGACTTCCAGGCTCAGCAGCCACATCACCTCTCCCAGGTGTATCCCATAGCTTGACAGCTCCAGCTACATCACACTGCCATCATCCTCTGTGGTGTGGTCCCCAGCACCCAACCTACCAACACACATTCTGATGTGTCACACAGTCACCCTTGTCTTGTCATGGTCACCCTTGTCTTTTCTCAGTCCCCAGCATGGCTTGGGCAGCCTTTACCATTGGAAACGTCCTCTTATCACCACCAGATCCCACTCCTCTGCCACTATGGAAGGGATCAAAGTAGTGGTTGTGCAGAGATGCTGTGGAACAGAGGTGATGTACATCCCATTGCTGTGGCTCCGGTGTTTGCAAACAACTTCCCAGCATCTGGTGCTGGTTTAGAGACTGATGCCTGCTTGAGATGTAGCAGTACATCAGCCAGAAAATGGGAGACAGCAGCTCTGGCCCCTGTATTCTGCGTGCGTTTAAACTCCAAGAAAGTCCATGCATGCTCCGAATAGAAGTTTGTTGCTGCTGTCTGGGGAACCCATAGATCTGTTGTCCTCATGTGCAAGCCCCATGCCCCCTTCGTTAGCTGTGGCTTGCCTGGCCATGCAGTAGGGACACCCAGTTCTGATGACTGGGGCAGCTTGAGGGCAGAAGAGGCACATCTGGTCCTTCATTACTGCATCCTGCTGCCCATGGCTCTGGAGGTGACCACTTTCCTCTCTGATGTAAGTGCCATGACCTGCCATCCATTTGGCAGCTGGAGATACCAAGAGCAGGCAGGGCATCTGCATGCCACCACAAAGTCCTGCTTGCCTGCACTGCAGCTTCCTGCTGGGATGCCCGCATGGTCAGCTCCCTGTCCCAGCAGCCTGTAAATGTGACACACAGGCCTTGGGGACCCAAAGGAAGCAGCAATTTCTGTGCTTTGGGGGAATAAAGAGCCTGGTGCTGGGTGCTGCTCTCCCCGTTGCCAAAGGGGAGGATGCACTGGTGCTGGATGTGGGCAAACAGGGCTTTCCAGTGGACTGAGAAGATGCAAGGGAGGGCTGGGGTGAGCAGCAATCTGGAATAAAGGAGAGGGATCCAGAGGCCAAAATCAACTTTGTCTTCAAGCTGTGGAGAAGAAAAACAGGAAGGGACCATGGGACCAGTCCCAGTGCCAGTACCTCCCTGTCCCACTGTGAGGCCAGGGCACTTCCTCCAGGCTTGAGCTCTCTGGTGGCTCGTGCAGATGCTGAGTGAGCAGGAGGCCTCCTGCTGTAGGCTGATGCTCTGCCTGCATGCACCCTGCCCCACGTAGGCACAGGCACATCCAAACTGGCCTTTGATGCCACATCCCACCCACCCCAGGGTGGATGCTGTGCCAAGATCGCCAGGGGAGCTGGTACAAGCCAGGCCCAGAGATGCTTAGAATGTGCCAGGTCAAAACAGCCCATGGACTGCATCCACGTGAGGCAGGGATGGGTCCAGCTTCCTGGTATGGAACAGGGACCAGCCCAAGCCCAGCAGGAAAAAAAGTGCAGGAGAACATGGCCTGGAATATACTTGGTTTGAAAATTTTCCGTCATCCAATGCTATGCACCAGGGAAGGTTCCCAGCACTGAGACAGAGAGACATCCATATCCACTGTCTCCATCCAGCACAGGGTGACCAGATCATGTCTCAGGCAGGGGCTTGTTTGGGAAATACATGGCTTTTGGCAAAAACCTTTGGAGCAGGGCACTGGTTGTGGGCAGTTGTGCAGCACTGCCTGGGCTGTTTGACTGCCATCAACCCTGCCAAATTTCTGAGCTAGTCCTCAGGATTAGCCTCCTCCTCTCCCTGCCTTGCTGCCAGGATCAGCCCACATTTTGCAGGGGAGGAGGCGAGTTGCACAGGACTGTCAAGCAAAACAGTCTCAACTTACCTCTCATGGCTGCTTCTATTTCCTTCTGTGCCAAATCCTGAGCCAAAGAAAGAAGTAAAAGCAGCTTGAGCAGAATAGCCATGAAACAGGCATCGATCTATATGTGCCACAAGATGATGCAGAGAGCAAAGAGTGCATACAGTCAGTGGTTCAGCAGGGAGGGAAGGAGGATGCATGGATTGAAAGAAGGATACATACAGATGTATATACAGATATGTGGATCAGTTGTCAGAGGGAGGAAGGATAGATGAATTTATAGATGAATGTATGGGTAGGTAGTTTGAACACTCAGTTACCATCCTAAGCATCAAAGATGCTCGCTCTGCAGGGGCTGACCTGTGAAGAGGGATGAGAGGCCCATGGGCAGAGAGCAAGGACTGTGTTTGGGAACAAGTCTAGAGTATGACCTATGTACCCGGTCCTCATATAAATGGCATGACAGCTGACATGATGAGACAGAGCCTGAACTGTCACCAGTTCAGGTCCTGAGAGTGCTGGGAAGAATGTGGACCATCTCCAGGGGGATTGCATCCTCCTCAGGAGCCAGTTCCATCTCACACTGCCCAGACACTGAGAGAGTAGGAACAGCAAGGACTATGCCTAGAGACACAGTGAATCCAAACATGAATGCTTTAAGAATGTAGTGCTGAGCATTCACCCTGACCATGGCCTTCATCTCACCTCCATGTTGGATACCTCTGCCTGGGGACTTGCTAGAGATACAAGACTAAACCCATTAGAGACCCCTGCAATCCTCCATACTCCCTCTTCTTCATCTGCCTCCTTTTCTAGCTGCTACAGCCTGAATACTCCTTTCTCTTCTTTCCCAAAACAGAAGAGACATTACCTGCCTGGCCAGACGTGGAGAAGGGAGAGGCCTGAGCTATCTCTTGCTGCTGCATTGTCAGCT